ATAGTTGGCATCATACGACAATGGGAGAGGCTTCTGGTGATCATTGAAAGAGTTTTGTTGCTTGTAATTAACACCATCGGGTGGTCAGGCTCGCTGACTTGGTTGAAGCACGTCATCGATCCCAATTGCGTGGATCGATGCTCATGATATTAATCACTGGATTGTCTGGTCCAGGCTCTATTATTCACAGACCGCCGTCATATAGCTGGAATATTGCTGAGTGCGGCGTAAAACAACAAACCTAACCAAAACGTGCATTCATATATATAAGTGCAATAATTTTGGACCCGACGTTAACCCCCATTTCACCTCACCACCTCACTGCATGTATCATTATGAAGCATGCAGTAATGTTGTGTGGTGTTTCCAATAAGAGTGGGAAATGTGATGACCATGCTGTGAGGATGTCTGTTGTGTAGACACGTGTTATTTACATTGATTGTTATTTTAGGTATCAATGCTAAATGCTCTAACAGACCCATTATTTGCTGTGCGGAGTTCCACCCCTAAGCTTAGTCTTTATTATTAGTTTGAATCTCAACTTGCCCGGCTATGGTCCTTGGTTTGTTTTGTATCATTGCTCTCAGGTTTCACCAAAGTGGTCAGACCCGTGAAGATCCGGGGTAGAATAGGTCTTCCGCAACCCATGCTTGCCATAAGAGGCGACTAACGGATCGTGTGGTCAGGCTCACTGACTTGGTTAATGCATGTCATCGTATCCCAATTACGTGGATCGATGCTCATGATGTCAATCACTGGATTGTCTGGTCCAGGCTAGATTATTTACAGACTGTCGTCATATAGCTGGAATATTGCTGAGTGTTAAAGCTTGAATGTGAGCCTTAAACAACAAACAGACAAAACCAATGTGGAAAATAACTGTTTCACATTGGACCCTCCTGTCATCATGACTGGAGGGGCGGTTAGGTAGCCTAGTGGTTAAAGCGTTCGCTCGTCACGCCGAAGACCCGGGTTCGATTCCCGACATGGGTACTATATGTGAAGCCCATTTCTGGTGTCCCCCGCCGGGATATTGCTGGAATATTGCTAAAAGCGGCGTAAAAAAATACTCACTCATTCACTCATCATGACTGGAATAATGTTAAAGCAGCGAGGCCACCTCACTTCTGTATCACTGGGCATGTACCACATCTTGATCCTAGTGCTGTATGTATCCCCACCCTCAACATAGATCTAGGGAAGGAATAGTGTTAAGATCGGTTTGCGAAGGAGCTCCAAGACTTATTGGGTACAACAGCCAGTACCTGCTGCACAGAACCATGTTTACTAGATCCAGTATCCTGACATTGCATTGCTGAACATAAAGAGACAAATGTATCTTTAAATATGAATTAAAACAACCAACCCTATTTAAAACAAGGTATTCTGTTCTTTAAGGAAATCCAATGAAAACAATTATTTTCTATATTTTACTTTGAACATTAAAGTAGAATTAGTGGAATAATATTTTCCAGAATAGCCTTACACGTTTAATTAACATCTTTGATACTCACTTACAATCTGACACCCCAATCAACAGTTGATGTTGAGAAAGATAATATATGAACTCGATCTGGAACTGATTACAAGTAGTAGTTGTATGGCGTCTTACTCTGAACACTTTATCAGGGATTTGACTGTAACTTGTATCATGTGTATGATGGAGATCATCCTGATATCTGGTCCCATTCGTACTCAGATCAACCAAAACGTTTTTCCACACTTTGGTGTATTTGTCCCAGAGAGAACACACTATTAAGAAGCAGACCGCCTCCGTGGTCTAGTGGTAGAGCGTCCGCCCGGAGAGCGGAAGGTCCGGAGTTCGATCCCCGGCCGCGTCATACCAAAAGACGTTAAAAGATGGTACTTGTTGTTACCCTGTCTGACGCTCGGCATTAAGGGGCTAAAACAAGGACTGGTCGGCTCGGAGTCCGTATACTGTGTCTGAGTGGGGTATTCATGTTAAACTGCGGCTATGTATCTCAGTGAGCTAGCACTATAAATCGGCATCAGTCCGAACTTATACAAGCAGCCACACAAACACACACACGGACATGCACGTCGCTATATAAGTGCAATAATCTTGGACGCGACGTTAAACCCAATTTCACCTCACCTCACCTTAAGAAGCAACCCTCTGTAAGCTCTTCCATACCCAAGCATCCGCCATCACTCCCATGTTTGACTCCACCCACCTCCTTCAGCACAGTGCAAGAGTACGGTAATGTGAACGTTCTCCTTTATTTGCCACAAACCTGATGCTGGGGTATTGTCCACATTCACTTTCAGATATTGACAAAACTTCTTGCAAGAAGGCATAAATGTCAGACTGAAACCATTGCCTGTCAAGGCCACCATATATATATACGAACGACGACTGTTTTATTTGATCGTCATATATTGATAGGGTATTGCAGCTCCGACATCAGATGGTTTCCCTGTGTTTGTGTATCATATTGATCAGTCTAAATGTCATGCCCAGCTTTTCATAACTGCACATAGCATATTGTATAGCTAGGCATTGTAGTTGTTTATTTATGTTTTAAAAGCATTGTGGCATGTATTGGGCTTTGCGTTTGGCAGAAATCGTGTTAAGCACATATAAGAACATGAGCTATTGTTCCGTAAATCTGGTGACGTGCACGATCCAGCAGTTTCCCGGAGGACATGAGTGTTCACGAGACTGAAATGTCAGTGCACTTTGATGCATGCACAGTCCGTTGTCAGTGTCCATCAAACAAGCAGCACTAAACGTTGTATTTTACTAAAAAGTAGCATCTGAAAGTAACGCTAAAGACGCACGATATACCAACTATTAGGAAATCAAAGGAGTATGAAAGATGGACCTGGATCAGGCAAGCCAGAGGGCGATCATGTGAGCATTATTCTGTCGGCACACATATCACAGGTGACCTTTCCCGCCCACAGTCGTCACAGAATAGTGCAAGAGTCCTATTTCTGCACGCCAATGGCACAGAAAACCCCCGTTTACGCTTTAAGTGTCTGAAAACAAAAGATGTCGTTAGTGAGCCCTCACCCCTCCCTGTTTTTTGAGACCGCCTCAGTGGTCTAGTGGTAGAGCGTCCGCCCGGAGAGCGGAAGGTCCGGGGTTCGATCCCCGACCGCTTCATACCAAAAGACGTTAAAAGATTGTACTTGTTGTTACCCTGTCTGGTGCTCGGCATTTAGGGGCTAAAACAAGGACTGGTCGGCTCGGAGTCAGTATACTGTGTCTGAGTAGGGTATTCATGTTTAACTGCGGCATGGTATCTCAGTGAGCTAGCACTATAAATCGGCATCAGTCCGGACTAGTACAAGCAGCCACACACACACACGTGCATGCACATCGCTATATAAGTGCAATAATCTTGGACGCGACGTAAAACCCCATTTCACCTCACCTCACCCTGTTTTTGATCATAAATAATCTGACCTTCCAAACAAAAGCGTTGATGGTACTAAGGAGGTAACAGGATTCCACCGAGACGACACACGTCTCTCACAAGATTAATTTAGATTTATATTTGGAATGGTCAACGACAGACACAATTTGTATCAGGAGTGTAGGTTGCAAACGTCCTCTTTCAGTCTGTCGCAGATGACCTTTTAGATATGAAATGGCGACAAAATTTCAGATCAAATGACCAATACGGCGTTTCATGAAATCGTACTTACGGACAAATATATTTTTTATGATTATGGAAAGGGTTTAGTCGCTTTTGTTGCAGTATGGATATGACTGGGACTCGTGACAAATGACGATACGACCCGTGAAGATTCGGGGTAGAATAGGTCTTCAGCAACCCATGCTTGCCGTAAAAGGCGACTATGCTTGTCGCAAAAGGCGACTAACGGGATCGGGTGGTCAGGCTCGCTGACTTGGTTGAAGCATATCATCGATCCCAATTGTGTGGATCGATGCTCATGATATCAGTCACTGGATTGTCTGGTCCAGGCTCGATTATTTACAGACCGCTGTCATATAGCTGGAATATTACTGAGTGCGGCGTTAAACAACAAACCAACCAACCAACCAAATGACGATACAATGGACAAGAACTCAGGTCAAAACCGACGGATAATGTTCGCACTATGGACCACTGGTTTGTGTTGCACTGGTCTCATTCTTACTTCGCCGACTGTGTCAAATCTTTGGACATTTGGACATTGGACATGCTATGATGAGAGTACGTGTTGGCCCATGTTGTTGGGTAATCATGCAATTTAGTACATGAAATCATTGTGAAAGTTATCCGCTGTATTCCAATGAATGTGAATAACACTTTGTTCATTTCAACAACTGCAGGGACACTGGGGTAGCCTAGTGGTTAAAGCGTTCGCTCGTCACGCCGAAGACCCGGGTTCGATTCCCGACATGGCTACAATGTGTGAAGCCCATATCTGGTGTCCCCCGCCGTGATATTGCTGGAATATTGCTAAAAGCGACGTAAAACCATACTCACTCACTCACTTAACAACTGCATCTTGACTAGTAACAACAATAGCTGCACATGTAAGGCTGAAATGTGTAAAAGGGCTGAATTAGAGGTTTTCAGGAAGTGTTCGTCTAATGTTTGACCCAATCTGATTTTTGAAGGAGATGTAGATGAACTGTACAAACATATGACAAAAAGAATCACCTCGGGTCACTCCCTTTTCACTCTTTGTATGCATTTGATCATTCAGAAGTCCAAAACAAGCCAATGTGACAAAACAAACATAACTTGCCAGCCATTTGAACATGACAATTTTCATACCAATACAAGAACATTTTCCTCAACTTAAACGCTTGACATTCCCAGTGGAAAAAACGAGTCCTTATCCAACCACGTCATTCGCGAACACCACTGTCATCGCTGATTTTTAGTGAACTCTTCATGTAATTGTGCCTTTTACGCCCAATGGAATCTATGGGAACACTGAGACTTGTTATTCTATGGCATTGACGTTATATATTTCCATATGTCATTGTAGTTATATACAACTTCCATGTTCTTCAGAATGGCGTGCCTACCTAGATGAAGAACATCGCTCGGAGCATCAACCCAGGGATACAACCTGTTCCAGCTAACTTTCACCAGCAACTCCACCGCCTGTTGTCTGCAGTGAAAAGGTCCGAATCTGGTCTTTCATTTAATATATGAATATTTTTAAAACTGTTATATATTGTCAAATTCTCAATATATGTGTGCATGTGCAATAATTATTTATTCAGGGAATTAGGTTTACTTCAACGCATTGTATATACGGTTAGTCTCAGGGAAAATGAGTAAAGTTACGTAATGTTTTCTTTTTTAAATGAAATTTTACATATGTATTTCACTCAAATGTGTATGAGATCGTATGTGATTATAATCTCAATTTATTCACTGTTGTTAGCTAATTTGCCGTCTTCATTTTGAACATGAACCATTGTAAAGTAGGGCTTCAAACATTTTGTAGATACTTGCTTTAACACAGAGAATGCATAGGTCACCCCGGAGAGTAGAGGACGAGTTCATTTGGAGAATAATCTAGGATGAATTAATATAATACTCATCGAAATGCCAATCATTCTTGTAGTATAACATATATTCATGACACATAGGTCTTCATGGCAGCCGTTTATCGATGCAGTATCTGTATGGATGATATCAAAATGATCAGCTGTGATTTAAAGTATTCTTTGTATTCTACAAATTTGTAAATAAACAGTCAAGAAACATGTAACTTTCCTTATTTTGGGGGGTGAAATTATTTTGTATCCATTTTGAGGAATGTTTATGACAGGCCACATGGCAGTATCTGGTGGACGCGTGGTGACCGCAAGCAGGAGACCATTAGCGACTATTAGATTCGTATATTCATTCGTTCGTTCGTTCGTTCGTTCGTTCACTCTAACGGGATCGGATGGTCAGACCTGCTAACTTGGTTGATGCATGTCCCAATTGCCTAGATCGATGTCAATCACGGGGTTGTCTGGTCCAGACTCTGTTATTAACAGATAGCCGTCATACTCTTATATAGCTCGAATATTGAGTGCCGGCGCTGAAAGACCAACAAACAAACTGATTGTATTGAAATCAGTTTATCTGGATGTGGAGTTACACTTCAAGAATAATGCTTGGAAATTCAAAATCTGTTTTTATGTAATTCAAATCGCTACTACCTTTAAGTAATACGATCTTAATCGGATGTTTTATTCACATTGCAAGAATCTTTTTATTTCCTTTATTGGTACCGATGCAAACTTCAAGATTGTAATCAGCTTGAATTCTAATTCGATTTTTCTTGTCCTTTTCTTAATGCCTATACATTAAGGACATCGGCTTGTGCGAATATGTTGCATTGGATGAGACATGCCACCTGTTCATTCCCATTCGTCAACACTCGCTTCACTTCGCAAATTGGCGCGGTCTATCACGGAATGTCACGAGTGGACACGAATGGTACGCTACATCCATCACACACCAAGTTTCACCCTTCACTGCTGTAAAGCACGCCTTGTTGGATGCAACGAATCTGGATTTTCCCTCGAGGAAAACAATTCTGTGTGTTCATTGGTTTTAGAATCGACGGGTGGCCCGGTCATCTGAGGCCCCGCAATTCGCCGTGCAGGTTTGCGTCCCAAGGGAACGACAGAAACCTATGGTCGAGGGTTCGAATCCTGGTCCCGATGTTGGAAGGGTTATCAAAGCGATTTGCTCAAATCAGATTCTCAAAACTTTTCTGTTTGTGCATAACATTCATCATTTATAACTAGAGATTTAGTAGTAACCTCCATTATTTCAACACTGTCAGGGACCTTCTCAAATAGAGACCGCCTCCGTGGTCTAATGGTAGAGCGTCCGCCCGGAGAGCGGAAGGTCCGGGGTTGGATCCCCGGCCGCGTCATACCAAAAGACGTTAAAAGATGGTACTTGTTGTTACCCTGTCTGGCGCTCGGCATTAAGGGGCTAAAACAAGGACTGGTCGGCTCGGAGTCAGTATACTGTGTCTGATTTGGGTATTCATGTTAAAGTGCGGCATGGTATCTCAGTGTGCTAGCACTATAAATCGGCATCAGTCCGGACTAGTACAAGCAGCCACACACAAGTACACGTGCATGCACGTCGCTATATAAGTGCAATAATCTTGGACGCGACGTTAAACCCCATTTCACCTCACCTCACCTTCTCAAATATTAGGCATTATTTCATACCAAATACCAAAGATAGAATGGAAATATCACCTCACCAGTGGGGATGCCGGGTTAGAAATGTATCAGGTGGTCAGGCTCGGTGAGTTTGGTGACGGCGTCACACGTTTCTCATAATATCAATCACTGGTTTCTCTCGTAATGTCTAGGCCGCCGTGATGTAGCCTAATTATGGTTGAGTGTAGCACACGCACGCACGCACGCACACACACACACACGCACGTACGCAAACACACAATCACACACACAAATATAACTCATTGATTTGCATGATCAGGATTATATGTGTTGAAATATTAATAAGTTAGCTTGCACCTTCTCGGGTACTCTTGTATGTATGAGTGAGTGAGTGAGTTTGGTTTTACGACGCTTTTAGCAATATTCCCACAATATCAAGGCGGGGGACATCGAAAATGGGCTTCACACATTGTACCCATGTCGGGAATCGAACCCGGGTCTTCGGCGTGACGAGCGAACGCTTTAACCACTAGGCTACCCGACCGCCCACTTGCATGTATGATAAATGCATGATAATGAATAATTAACAGACATATACGCCTAGCCTTATTCTGGGTGTGTAACGATTGAAATCTAAAACGACATTCTTCATTTTCTACAGCCACATTGGGTTCGTGTAGACATTCAAATACAATAACCTAAAATATTGTGTTATATCATATCCTACCGATAAGAACAGTCGATCAAAATTGATGACCCTTGTTGATATTGTGGAATTGTCATTATTTTTGAGTTCGAAAATATTGCATTTTCTGTGAACCCGAGCTTTTCTAAAAGGCAAATGTGCTATGAACAATTCTTTTACCTATACAAAGACGCCGTTCTTTCAAATGCTTCCAAAAATAACTGTTATTGAATGCCGTTTGATATTTGTGTCACTTTATACAATATCACCTGGTGAATTAGATTTAAGGAATATGTTTTGCATATGTGGTGCCATGACGACATGGGCTTTAAATGGTTCGACATTGTCACCTCAAAAATATATCCCCCGATATTGCTTTAAACTGATTTTATTATTAAATTATATTTACTGTATTTTTATTGCTTGGCGTCTGCAGTTTATATCTTATAGATTACCATATCTCATTTGAGGACACTTGATACGGACACCTCAGTTCTCACTGGAAGTATATGGCATATGAAATGCTGTCTTCTGAGATCAATAAAACAGTCTGCGGATAGCAAGTATTTTGCGGTGCAAGAGTTGTATACTCTCCAAAAAAAGTAGCGGTCATGAAGTATATATGTTATGGTCGGTCGTCAGAAGAACGATCAGTTTCGAAAATGATTACCAGAGGTAGATCGGTCTGTGTACCAAATCCTAAACCTGAGTCAGGCAATTTCTCTTTGCAAGTGGGTAGGTGGTCATTCTTAATTTTTATAATTCATTAAAGGGTCGTCAAATTGCTCGGAGCCATTAGTATTGTTGATTTTCATTAGCCACAGTTTGTTTGTTAGTTGTTTAACGCCGCAATCGGCAATATTTCAGCTACTTGTGTTTGATGGCGGTCTGAAAATATCTTTAGCCACAGGAACTCGTAAGCTCTCCACTGGGAATGCTGGGAATTGGGAATTACGTCGTCTATAATATTAAGAACAATTAAGGGTTAATGTCATGCTTCGAACTGGTTGAAGAGGTAGCCAGTGTGTTCAATGTGTCTCAGTCTGTGTTTTGCAGACTTTAAAACAGGTTTCCGCACACACCCAATGTTTATGATCGGTCCCGCACAGAACGCTGTAGTATCATTCAAAAACAGTCAATCAAAACGTCTGCATGCAGCTAAGCTGCGTGCTCGGCGACCACGTGTTGTACCACCGTTAACAAACCGACACATTCTAACCAGATGTCTGGCGCCAAACTGGGAAAATCGCCGATGGTCTTGTGTAATGTTTCCAGGTGAGTCCAGATTTACTGTGGACTTTCTGGATAGACGTGGACGTGTCTGGAGACGTCCTAACGAATCTTAAGGGACGGGATCACTATGACTGTCAGATTGCCACTGCATATTGTCCATGTTAGGGTCACTGGACAGTACTACCGAGATAACATACTGGTGCCAATAGTTGTGCAGTATTCGCGCCATGCTGGTCCACGTTTTGACAATTAAGATTAGAGTGAGTGAGTGAGTGAGTATGGTTTTACGCCGCTTTTAGCAATATTCCAGCAATATCACGGCGGGGGACACCAGAAATGGGCTTCACACATTGTACCCATGTCGGGAATCGAACCCGGGCCTACGGCGTGACGAGCGAACGCTTTAATCACTAGGCTACCCGACCGCCCCAATTAAGATTAGAAAGCTTGTGCCCACTGTGCATGTGTCGTAGCTGGTTAACCCCAGAAGCAAAACATTACCACAATGCAATTTGCCAGCCATGTGCCCTAACCTTTTCCGGGTAAAGAACGTCTGACTGATCGGGAGACATGTATGCCGACGTCAAAGGCCATCCGCTACGTTGGCCGAATTGTTCAAGGCGTTGCAAAGGGAGTGGACAAGGCTCCCTGAAACTGGCATTGGGAGATTGATTCTGGCCATGCCACGCCGCATAAACGAATGTTTGACCAATCGTGGAGGCATGGCCCATTATTGATCACGTCATCTCAGACATCTGTGACAACACACCCCTGTGGTCTTCTTCGTTGTTTGCATCCTAACAATACAGCCAGACAGAAAACAGACACCGCCAACATTATCTGTGGATTGTCATGTTACACCTAATCCTTCCGTTTCGTTATCCATTCATTACCATACCTCTTTGTATTTCTGTAATAATCAACTATTTTCGAATATTCCCTACTTTGAGTGTATATTTGTAAGTAGAAAATTGTAAGTTAACTATTATCATTAACCGTTTTAAGGGATTGATTATTCCAAGTGACATATAACCATGTCATTGCATATGAAAAGAGGAACATTAAAGGACCTTGCAGAAAGGTCATGGTATACGTCTGAACATGATTCAGACGTCGGTGAGGAAACAGTGGTGATGACGGATGTAGGTTTGTGGGTTACTGTTGGCGAATACTGGAGGGGAATGCAGTAGTGTTTATTGAGGCAGTGATGGTTCATGCGTTGTTGGACGGCCTACGTGGTCTAGTGGTAGAGCGTCCGCCCGGAGAGCGGAAGGTCCGGGGTTCGATCCCCGGCCGCGTCATTCCAAAAGACGTTAATAGATGGTACTTGTTGTTACCCCGTCTGGCGCTCGGCATAAGGGGCGAAAACAAGGACTGGTCGACTCGTAGTCAGTATACTGTGTCTGGGTAGGGTATTCATGTTAAATTGCTGCATGGTATCTCAGTGGGTTAGCACTATAAATCGACATCAGTCCGGACTAGTACAAGCTGACACACACACACACACACACACACACACACACACACACACACACACACACACACACACACACACACACACACACACACACACACACAGTGCGTTATATTGATGCGGCGTTAAACTCGTTGGTAGTGTTTTGTGTCCTAACAGTCGTGGTTTTCATAGTGA